TGCGGCGGCTTCCCCAGCAGGTCCTTGGAGCTCCGTCTCCGGGCCAGCGCCTCGGGCTTCACGCCCGGCTCCCCCGGCTCACAGGGGCTGTCGAGCAGCTGCAGGGCCTTCACCAGGGGATCTTTGGATCCTCGGCGTCTGATTTCTGAAAAACACGCAGCGCACACAACACCTTGAGAGAAGAGTGCCCTGGAAGCCTGGAAACTAACCGAGCTGCCTTTCCCCCTCCGGCTGGGCTGTCGGTGTGGTCGAGGCGGCAGAGGCCGCCAGCACTGCTCCTAAGGGCTGCAGGGAGGAGCCTACAGCCTCCCGCCAGGAGCCGAGCCAGATCATGGCACCGGGTCGCCGGATCAGGGGTCACGTCTGAAGACAGGTGTGCGCTGGGGGCCACCTGCAGTCTGGGAGAACAGACGTGGCCGCGGGGCCACCTGCTCACATGTTCCTGACCCCGTGCTGGCTCCGAGTACAATTTACCTGCAGAGTTTTCACTTGTTGTCAGGAGATCATTTTAATAAAAATCAGCGGAGTGTTTACTACATTCAAAGCATTGGGCAGTAGACATAGTCTTGACTTGTAGGTGGTTTCAGTTATAGTGGGGGAAGCCGGACACATTCACAAATGACACGTTAACAGGCTAACAATTGCAGGATAAATAAAAGTAAAAGAGGTGTCACGGGGAAAAACAAAAACAATGATCAAACAGCTAACATTGATCGATCGTGTGCTATGCATTCAGCACTATTCCAATCCCATTCTCATTTTCCTAGCCGCCCTGTGAGATGGGGACTGTCAGCCCCCCAACATCACAGAAGAGAAAACCGAAGCACCGAGAGCTTAAGGAAACTGCCCAAACCATTTTAAGTGGCAGAGCCTGGATTCCAAAACAGGAAGTTGGGCTCCAGGAGCCATACTCTTCACCACGGCATTTGGATGGACTCCAAGTAGAAGAGAAATGGAAGATGAGCTGACTTTGATAGAGAAGGTCATTTCCAGTGGAGGAAGCTGCAGGAGTGAAGATATGGCGGTGGCAACCATAAAGGGCTCGTTCCCAGAAAGGGGAGTTGAGAGATAAGTTCAAAGGACAGAGGCCAGGAGAGAAGAGAGGTAGTGGGAGAAGCAGCCAGAAGAGTAAGCAGGCCCGGGCACCAAAGTGTAGAAAGGCCAGGATGCAATGAAAAATGATTACACATTTTTTTTTAAAAACAAGTAACAGTTACATTTCTGTTTTGTTGGGAGGTAACGCCAACACAGTGTACAGGATGGAATAAGCCAGAACGGTATGGTCTGGACTTCGACAACGAAGACTGGGAAGGAGTGATCAGGTAAGAAATGGATGCAAAAAACCTGATGCAAATCAATCAGCCGCCAGCTAACCAGCCAGCCACCGAGGGGAAGAATCGGCAGTATCTGGTGACGGCCCAGCGCGGAGCCCAGAGGCCTTGGCAGGTAGTTAATGTCTAAGGTCTGGACAACCAGAGCTGGGGCTGTAGACCAACAGAAGCAGTAGGTGGTTCTTCTAAATGCCCATCAAGGAAGCTTTCCATCTGTCCACTTGGTCATGGTCAAGGAGGACCTTTCTAAACACAAACATCTCATCTCATCACTCAACACCCCTTAGCTCTCACCGGTCTACTTATAAGGTACAAGCTGCTCAGCACGGCATGGGAGGCCTTCTGGGACCAGGTCACGGCCTCCCTCTCCAGCTGCTTCTCTCAACACCACCCTGCCCCATCCCTCTGCAACCCGATTCTTTGTTCCAACCAAACGGAACTTGTGAAATTCCATGAGCACCACACTGCCTTATGCCCACTAGTGTCCAGGGTGATCTTCCATCCTTTGAAATCTAACCTCGCATCTCCCCCTCCAATTCCCCACCTCTCCCAGGTGCCGTCACTTGGCCAATCCACTCTCCCCTTGCACTTCTCCCACTGTATGGATTGGTTTGTTCTTGTGTCTGTATTTCCAATTTGGTGGCGACTTCCAGGGCGGGGACCACCACCGTCCTGCTGATTTTTGTAGGACCCCCAGTTGTGCTAAATAATAATCGGATGGATGGGAGGAGAGACAGAGAGGAAGGAGCTGTAGAATCTTCAAAAAGGTGACAATACGGATCCGGAGTTCAGCAGAGAGATGGAGGTCAGAGTTATGCGTCAAGGAGGTACTCGCAAATGGATTGTTGTTAGTCCTGGGAGAATGGAAGCAATCCCAGAGGAAAGGAGGCGGGTTGAAAAGAGGATCCACGGAAGGATCTGGGACTTCTTCAGTGAAGGGTGAATGGAAGACGAGGTGCCAGCAGAGAAGACTGAGCAGGAGTGGTCATGTGAGGAGGAAGAGGATCACAAGACTGCAAGGCCATAGGAGCAAAGGAGACTGGGCACGGTGACACTATGGAGATGCATCACTGACTCTACTAGCGAGGAAAGACTTCTTTTTTTGATTGATTTCAGAGAGGAAGGGGGAGAGAGAGCGAGATAGAAACATCAGTGATGAGAGAGAATCACCAACTGGTCTGCCTCCTGCACAACCCCCACTGGGGGGTCAAGCCTGCAACCTGGTCATGTGCCCTGACCGGGAATCGAACCCGGACCTTCTGGTTCATAGGTCAATGCTCAACCACCGAGCCACGCCGGCCTGGCACCAGGAACGACTTCTTTAACAAGGAAAGGACAACAGATGAAACGTTCAAGGGAAAAGTTATTCAAATCAGGACTCTAAATCAGAAAGGACAACATTTATTCATAGGGTGAGGTTATAATTCTGCTGGATAGGGGTCCCTGCCTGCAGTTCACTGGAATCACCTGGGAGTTTTCACACCCACTGAGGCCTGGGTCCCATCAGCAGAGGACCCGATTCCATCGGTCTGGGGTCTGACCTGGGAGTTAGAGGTGCAAAAGCCCCCCCAGGTGATTCTAACGAGAGGCAAAGCCTGAGAAGCACTCCCACACCTCCTGGTCCCCCTGGTCCCTCTGTTTTCCTGCTCTCCAGCGCTCGTGCCATGGCTAGCCAAAGAGCAGGGTTCTCCCGTATCGAAAGCCTCCACACCAGAACAGGCGCGCTCGACTGTCCCCACCCCCAGGCCAGGAAAGGGGCCTGGGGTTGTCTGAGGTCTCCTGCATCTCCAGTCCAAGCCTCTTGACTTTTAATCCCACAGCTTTTTTTTCTTCGTAGCTTATTCTAGATGGAGTTATGGAAAATAAGAAACAAAAACACACTCTGCTCTCGGTTCAATTAAGATAAGGCTGAAGTTTTTTTTTTTTTAAAGAAAAAACACAAAGGAATGCCTAGGATGGATTTAGAATTTTAAAGTTTCTGATGTAAACCTGTTTGCCCTCAGTTTAGTCTGGCACCAGCTGGGGTAACCTTTCCCAGGGCTCGTGCCTCAATTCTGTCTCAGTTGAGATAAATGGAAAACGAGTTGATTCCAACCTTAAGACAGACGTCATACGCCTAAGAAAATGTCAATACATTTGTGTGAAAGCGACGCACAGCGATTAGAACGCCGAGTTGTTATCACACATGTCTGCGTCTTCACTTGTGAGATGCGGTCCTTGCACTTCTATTTCAGGCAGCCTGTGTGCACAGAGCTCTGGGAAAAACACTGGCAAGCAGACAACGGGGGAATGCTCCTTCCCGAGATGGTCCTGGGATTGGGCAAAATCTGCAAAGTAGTACCATCTTTTCAAACAATGTTTAATTAAGGGGGGGGAAAAAGGGCTTGAGCACAGGGCCCCTCCGCCCCCTCCAGGGGAGTAACCTTCCAGTCCCTTCCAACACCTGGCTGCCCCCAGCCAGAGGCGCCATAGAAACAGAAACAATCGCGGGGCTGCAAGCCGACCCTTCCTGCAGGGAGAATAGCCCCTGACGTGCAGAGCTGGCTCCGAGAGGAAACGAGCCTGAGAAGGAGGAAACGGCGAGAGGAAGCTACGCCCTGGCTTTGCCGATAGAGGCCATTTACATGGCAGACAACAGAATGCGGCCAACGGGCGGCAGATAAACACCCATCTGCAGCTGAAACCCAGGCCTGACCTGCACCGGCTCACAAGGTGGCGTGGAACAGAATGTGGGCTGACATCTTCCCTTCCCAGCTCTGGCTCTACAGAAGTAGGCCACTTATATTTAAAAGCCTAGCAGGCGACTAAGACTTCCTTTTACTAAGTTAATTGTAGTCGGGACGTGTTATTCCTCCAATTGTCCGGAATTCTCTTTGAAAATGGAATCCTCTGGAGCAGCGGTTCTCAACCTTCTGGCCCTTTAAATACAGTTCCTCATGTTGTGACCCAACCATAACATGATTTTCGTTGCTACTTCATAACTGTCATGTTGCTACTGTTATGAATCGTAATGTCAATATCTGCTATGCAGGATGGTCTTAGGCGACCCCTGCCAAAGGGGTCGCGACCCACAGGTTGAGAACCGCTGCTCTGGAGTGTCTAAAGAATGGCTGTATTCATTGTGTATGCATGCACTAGCCTGTTATACCCGGTATCTCAGTGAAGCCTCACAATGGAGTTAGAGAAGTGTTATCCCATTTTCACGGGTGGGTAAACTGAGGCTGTGCAGCAGTCAACGGGGAGCCATTTAGCACTGACTCCAGAGCTTTCTCTATCATTCCTTACTTTAAGCCCCAAAGATCTCATGTAAACCGTGAGTTACGATTTCTATAATGCACCTTTTCCCCTAATTCATTTCATAATTTAGCCTGTGCCAGCCTAAGCTTAGAGCCTCATAAAGCTCTTATTTCCTCATAGAATCAGAAAAAGGGTTCCCTCCCGCACGAAATCGAACCTGACACCGGATGACACGCCAACCAACTGAGCCACACTGGCCAGGGCTGGCAGGTAACGTTTTTACTTACATCTTTTATCAGTGCTCGAGCTTTTGATTTAAAATTACTTTAACGTTTTCTGAACAAAAGCAGATGTAATTCAGAAGCCCTGAAATTTAAGTTTAACAAGGAAAGTAGAGACAAATTATATAAGTAAAAAATAGTCTTCTATTTATACATTTTTAATTATGGTTAAATTTTTAAATGGAGACCTGAACAATGAGATTCTCCTTTAGATTTCACTATTTAAACAAACCAACAAAACCATTTGGAGGCGAAAATACACATTTTAAACCACCTGCGACTGCAGCTCTGTAACGAAAACCAATGGTTGCTAAGTGACCCGGTGTCTCCACTCTGATGCTGCATAATTTGGACAAGTTATGGAATCTTTCTGAACCTTGGTTTCCTCAACTGTAACACAGAGAATTCTAACACCCACTTCTTAGGGTTGTAGGATTTAGTGAGGCAATTTAGCAAGCTTGGCCCCTAGCAAGCACTCAACTTGTGTGATACCAGCTGCGGAAGGAATGTTTTTTTTATTTTTATTTTTTACAGAGAGGAAGGGAGAGGGATAGAGAGTTAGAAACATCGATGAGAGAGAAACATCAATCAGCTGCCTCCTGCACACTCCCTACTGGGGATGTGCCCGCAACCAAGGTACATGCCCTTGACCGGAATCGAACCTGGGACCCTTGAGTCCGCAGGCTGACGCTCTATCCACTGAGCCAAACCGGTTAGGGCAGGAATGTTTTTTTAAATCCTCACCTGAGGATAGTTTTTCCATTGATTTTTTTTTTTTTTTTTTTTTTAAAGAGAGTGGCGGGGAGTGAGGAGGCGGGTAGAGAGAGAGAGAGAGAGAGAGAGAGAGAGAGAGAGAGAAACATCCATGTGAGAGAGACACATCGATTGGTTGCCTCCCACATGCGCTCCCATGGGGCAGGATCGAGCCTGCTACTGAAGTACATACCCTTGACCAGGAATAGAACCCAGGACCCTTAGGTCCACGGCTGACGCTCTAACCACTGTGCAACCGGCCAGGGCTGTGGAAGGACTTCTGACACTGAATGGCGGTTGTCTTAGGGAGCCTGTAAAGACCCTTTTAATGCTGACGTTTTCGTGGCTAAACCCCATAATGCTAAACGATACAGAGTATTTCTACTAAATATTTAGCTGCAATGATTCTGCTAATTTAGCAGCACAACGAAGAAGTGTGTACTATTATTGCCTGGTATTCATAGTCATATCTTTTTATGAGCAATCCTCTGAATAAATAAAAGCAAGAATTTATTCATAGATTGATACAGCCTTAGCCTTTAAAAGTTAAGAGCAAAGTCTTGGCAGGGATCCAGGGAGCCTGGGGCCCAGGGATTTGGCCTCAGGAAAGGTACTAATGCCTCTTAATTTGTTTCTTCCTCGGTTCCCCGAGGCAGATGATGATTCTCATTCTCCGCCTCCTGGCACTCACCACTTTTCAATGACATGTTTTCTTCTGCATCGGTGTTAGGTCTGTCAGCCCCCGGGACTGTGAGGGCCGCAAGGACAAGGGTCAGTGGGTCTTGTTCCCTGTATGCCCAGATCCCAGCACGGGGCCTGGCACACGGTAAAGAAATATTGGTTGGCTGTTATAACATCACATCAGGAGCAGCGTTCTATACACCCAAGATACTGTTAAAATCAGACATGCTGTTCCCACTTCACAGTCATTAAAAAGGCAGGTCAGAGGTTGGGAGCTCCGCTGTGAAACCATTCATTAGTATTATCTCCTTCTGCTACCGAAATGCAGAAACAAACTAAAAAGAAATCCCTAACGTCCCCCAAGAAATATGGGACATTTCGGAACTTGGACTTGACAACAAATCACACAAGAAACAAACTGAACAAAAAAGGTAAAAGGTTTTTTTTTTTTTAAAAAAAAACACACCAGGCAGCAAATCTTTTATTCCCGGCTTCCGATAAACTCACTTCCTGTTATTCTGCCCAGCTGTGTAACCTGCGGGTAGAATAAGAGGTATACTCTCTACATTGACTTAGAAAGTGCTTTTTGATATATATTTTAAGTGAAGAAACTTTAACATTCATCAATATATATTTTTGAAAAAGCACAGAAAAGGTCGAATAATTTTTAAAAGTAATTTAAATTTTTGATAGATTTGAATTTAGTCTCCAACTGAATATATTAACTTCCCATTCCTAAATGAATTCACTCACATACACGACTTAACACACGAGTCTGGAATTAACAAATGCTTACATATTTAATGCTAGCTATTGTTATTATTACATTTATTCATGTTGGACAACTTTAACTTTTCACTATAACCCTCTCTGTCAGTGAATGGAAAGATGCCTTACTGATGAATACGGTTGAAGTGCTTTTGCGTGCAGCACTTCATATTTCTTGGGGCAACCTGGTATAGGGAGCAGACGACCCCCATCTGGAGTGGGAAGATCTGAGTTCTAATTTCTGCTCTGTCACTTACAAAGTCTTGGGAGCTTAGGCAAGTCAGAATCTCCTTGATCCTGCATCAAGGGGATGGTACTGGAGTTTTGTGGGGATTATATGGAGAACAAAAGATATGGTCATTTTTAAAAAGCACAGCACTTTCCCTATGATCAGTGTGGCCCCATGAATAAACAGCGGGGCTAGAATAGATAAACTGCTTATTCCAGTCAAAGAGAAAGAAGTAAAACCCAAAAGACAAAGGAAGGTGAATAAAAAGGAAACATTTTTTCTTAGACTATCTTTTTCCTCAATTTCATGTGAAAGTAAATCTTTTCCCCTATTTCTCTCAAGCCTCCGATATTTTTTAAAACTCTGACTAACTTCGTTTTCACTTCCTTTCATTCACAGATTTCATTAGAGGTCACAGTCCAGTGACCTTCAGGGTCACAGCCTGGCCGGGGTACACCCTCCCCAGCCCCGGCCTTATCTCTGCAAGCAGAGCGCAGGAAACAGCAGTGCCTTCCTGTGGCAGCTCGTTTGCATTTGGGAGCCTGTCTTGACCCTTCCAGGGGGAGCTGAGAGCACCCCCACTTCTGCCCCCAGCGGGTCTCGGCCGGCCGGGCGTTGCGTTCGTTAGTTCGTTACCCTCTGCTCAACTCCTCCCAGGCTTTGCTTGTGGAGCCCGAGTTGGACAGCTTTTCAATCTGCTTTTACACAGAAGAGACCGTCTCCTGTGTGACCAACTATTCAGGCACCAAACGCACGACACTCAAACCAGGCTCCTTGGAGTCCGCACCCGGAAACTTCATTTCTCATTACGGATTAAAGCGTGTGGAAGGGAAATTAGGCGAGTAAATAACTTACTCTAAAGTTCACAAATAAAACGAAATCATTAGTAAATATATCTTTTTCAAGTACTGTTTACACCAGTTTAAGGGATTTGTGAATAAAAGGGAAAAGTTTGATACCAAAAGTGACAGGGGGATTGGATTGCTCAGCTCATAAGTTGGAATGGTTCCAACTTGAGAAGTTACAAGGTTGTCAACTGGTTTTAGGGGGGCTTGCCTTGAATGGCGTGGCTCATGCCAGTGATTGGGAATCATTCCTTAGTTAGTAAGCATTTTGCTCCAATGTTGTAGAGCTTGTGGAGAAACCAATGTTCTGTAATACAGAGGACACCGTCACTTTGTACCTTTTGACAACTTAAAATCCTTTAGGGATGTATTCGTCTCTTGGTGCAGATTTATGACTCCCAAGATAGATGATAGAGCTCTGAAAGTGGTCAATCTTAACACTGAAGATCACATTCTGAGCAGATCTGCAAACTCACTATGAAAGAGTGTCATTTTACACAGGATTAGAAAAACTTTAAAGACCCCTTAAATTCTAAAACGGAAGGATGCAAACTATACAGGAAGTTAACTAGATATTTGACTTTCGTGTTTTTGTTGTTGTTAAACCTCATCTGAGGGTATTTTTCCCATTGCTTTTTCTGAGAGCGTGGGAGGGAGGGAGAGAGGGGTAGAGTCGGGGAGGGGAAGAGAGAGAAGCGTGGATGTGAGAGAGCCACATCCACTGGCTGCCTCCTGCAGGCAGCCCCATCTGGGGGCAGGAGCAAAGCCACCGTCCAGGTATGTGCCTTGACCGATAATCGAACCCTTGGGCGCACGGACCGACACCGACACCTGAGCCACACCGGCCAGGGCTTGACTTTAGTTTTGAGTCTAATTTCTGTTCCTTCCACTCAGCATGACCTGGTTAAACGGCTTCATTCCTCTTCCCTAAACAGAGAGTGGTTACTGTTTTACACACTCGAAGCGAGTGTGAGAGGTCTGCCCCCACTGAGCAACTCCCGGTTACGGACCTGTTATCATCTGCTGAGCGTCATAGGGTTCCATGTAGCCGTCGTTCTCGCCTACCCTCTCGGCATCCCGCTGACCTTTTGTCCGTTTGGCATCATACGGGTCAGCGTAGTCTTCTAAAATGATGACCTGTTAAAGAAGCAGAGGAGAGCCGCTAAGGATTATCATACGCCAGAATGGCAGTGGCAGCCAAGTGTCTACTGACAACCCGCTGATCTGAAAAGACATCAAAATCTCTAGTTCTGGGTAGCTTTTGCATTTGATCCTGTTATCCACCGAGCTGCACAAACATCTGATTTTTTTGTAGTATAACTGGTTGTCAGCAATTCATCTAAACTCCGCTGATGCCCACGACTCTTTTCACCTCCTTTTCTTTCCCTAAGCAATAGAGCATTTATTTGCTGGGTTAAAGGGTGGCAGGGGTGGGGTCTATAGAGCATAAAAAAAAAATGCTGGTCTACCACCTTCCCCATGATCTGGTCTGTTTAATGCCAGCAAAATGAGCAAATCATGGTCAGTCAGCCAATCCCCCAGGCACTGCTGCATGTCCGCGAGCACTGGCTAGGGAATCAAAATAAGACCAAGACCCGCTTCTTGTCTTTCAAGGAATTTGTAACACCTCTAAAGGGACAGGCTTTATAATAAGAAATAGGTCAGAACTAAACACCCTTGTGGGCGTTCTAGGTTCAATAATTCACAGGCAGACTTGTTCCCAGAGGCTACAATCAGATAGAGTTTTGATCAGCGTTTGTGTCAGAAAGCACCTATTCTTCTGAAAATACCAAGGGGCCTGCAGAGGTGGTGTGTGTGCAATAGTTCTGCTCTGCAGCAGCTGTGTGACAGACAACGTGGGAGGTCAAGCAAGAAGCCCCTTCCCGGGGAAGCCTGCTCCACAATCTTTGATTACATTCTCCAAAGAGTTCACGGAGAAGGACAGCTGGCGGGAAGAACGGAGATACACAGCGAGAAGTGAGGAAGAGAGTAGGAGCCTTCCACTTGGGAGGAGACGGCCTAAGAAACTCCGACATCTAGAAGTGATGACCACGGAAACACCCAGGCAACCGCTGCGGGGGACTCGGATTAACCACTCCCTCCCTGACTGTGTTCTTCTGACTGCCCACCGTGTGAATGACATCCCTGAAGCACAGTGAGGAACAGGAAGTGTGACGGGCGGCCCAGGGCTGCAAGGTGCATCCGATCTAGTTAGTCAGGTAGACCACTCCTATTCGGGCCAGCTGGGGCTTGGCGGTCCCGTGCCTGGCGCAAGGTAGGCATGCTGCAAATACTTGTGCAAAGAATGAATGGAGGAATGGATGGAAGGACCCAAGGCAGACATGCGTGGTCTGCTCCTCCGGCTCCTGACTCCATTCAGGTGGGCAGCATGTTTGAAGCCGGGGCCAGAGAAAATTTAAGTTCCCACGGCAGGAAGCGATCATCCGGGCTGGAGTCCGAAAGGCCCTCTCTCCCCACTTCACACAGAAGAGTGAATTTAAAACAAACACCCAACTCATCTCTGTAAAAACGGAGTGAGTCTCTTTACTAGTTCCCCGCATCTGTCATTTCCTGGAGAGTGTTCTTTGTTCCATTCTCTAGCCCCCTGCAGAGCCCTGTGCCCCTTCCCCTCTCTGGCTGCTGCACAGCCAATGGTCATGGGCTGAATGAAAGGGCTGTAAGCTTGGGGAGCTGGTAAGCTTGGAGAAACCCTTTCTGAGGTGGGGCTTCCAATCTGGGAGGTGGGCTGGGCTGGGCTGGCCAACCCCTCTCTGGACCTTTGAAAATCATACTTACAAGTTTGGAGGCCACCATTCCTTATGCTCAAGAGGAATTAAAGCTAGACACAGTCTAGCTTTGCAACCCTCCCTGGATTCCAAAATTAAAATAGACCACCCCGTATAAGGGGGCCAAACTGAACAAAGCAGGAACGTTTCATTCCATTCCTCATCTACGCTGCTAACTAAATTAAACGCAGGGTACATTTCTGCAAAGCTCCCCATCCTTAGAATGAGGATTTTTTTCCCCAAGATGAAAAAACGAATGGTTTAGAAGGGTCACCTAGAAGTCACCAAATGCTAGAGGGGGAAACACATCCTTCCCGTCTCTGAAGCAGAAGGAACTCTATCTGGGGGTTCGCAGGGTCGCTGTCGTCTCCCACGGGGAGAGGTGGCCCAGGGGGGACTGGATTCCTACCGTGTCTTGCTGCTTAATAATCTTGCCCTTGTCCAGTTCGGGGCCCAGGGAGGAAGGGGATGAGGACGCGGAGGAAGAGCTGCTGCTGCTGCTGCTGCTGCTACTGCTGCTGGGATAGCTGCTCTTCCCATTCTTCTCCTGAGTGTCCACCTTGATGAGCCTGTTGATGTAGGTGCTGCAGCCCGAGCTCTTGGCCGCGCCCCGGTGCGGCTCCTCGTCGGTGGTCCGGGAGTTCTTGCGGCTCTTGCCCG